ATTGACCTAATTAGTGTTAATTGGTCTTCCAGCTGTTCGTTATATGCACAATTTCCTTTTTCCAGCCACTTATTGCTACTTGTGTCAACAAATCCCAAAAAAGTTGGGACAAGTCATCTGTGTTATATTACGAATAAAATGTTGACATTTGCTTTCTCTACATCATTGCATTCAGTTTTTATTCACAATTTGTTTAGTGTCCCAACTTTTTTGGAATCCGGTTTGTAAATTCTGTTTCATGATGATTCTTTTTATTTTTTTGATATATAGACTTTCCTGATCCATTTGAATCACCAAGACGCTCTGACGCCCCAGCTAATACTCCCAAGCTTAGGGTTTACACCAGAAACAGACACCCCAGTTACCCCCCGTGTCAGCGCTCAGTCGACTTTAAGCCCTCGCCACCTTCAGGTACAAATATTCATCCTGTTTTTAAACTTGAATTCAAAATTATGTAGCCATATAATTCAAAAGTCTTACTGACTTAAATGTATACGGATATTTTATTTTGTAGGGGTAACCACACAGCTTCACAGCCATGCAGTGGTGACTGTGAGAGACTCCTTGGTCAACTCCAGCATGAGGAATATCGACTCTCGACGTCACAGCTCCCCTTCTCTTTCTTCTCTTCCCCTCCAGCTGAACAGACAGAGAGGATTGACCTCTCTACCTCAAACTTTGTCACGACCCCTCACTTCACCCCCTCCCCTCATTCCTTCCCCTGCCAGAGACCCTGAAAAGTCCAAACATCTCAGCAGAGAGTCGGCAAGGAACGCAGTCCAGAGAGACGATGAAAAGGCCCGCTCGTTTTTGACAGACAGGCACAGGCTGCAGCCAAATAGAGAGCAAGGGTTACGAGACACAGACAAGGGGAGAACATCAAGTCGAGATCATGCTTCCAAGGACTCTGACAAGAACAGACATGAACAAAAAGACTCTGACAAGGGCCAAATATCAGCCAAAGAGCCAGAAAAAAGACGAATTACAAGTTCAGACTCGGGTCTGAAAGAATCTGAAAGTGGAAGACCTCTTAATAGAGATCCTTCAAGAGATTCTGAAAAAGGGAGGCATGCAAACAGAGACTCTAACAAGGAGAGACAGACAAGCAGAGAACTGAGCACTAGAGACACGGATAAAAGCAAATCATCGTCAAGAAATCCTAGCTATAAGGACGTGAACAAGTCTGGGTCTTTCAGTAGGGATACAGCAGTGAAGGAATCAGAGAAACACAGACCGTATAGCAGGGAAACAGGAAAAGACTCAGGCCAGGGTAAAGAAAGACCATCAAGTAGAGATTCTGACATGGGTAGACTTCCTTCTAGAGATTCAAGTTATAGAAGCACAGAGAGAAGCAAAGATGCTGGCTCAGGGAGGGATAGTCAGTCCAAGCGGACTGGAAGTGAGAGCAGGAGCCAAAGACTGGCACCTGCAGGCTCAGGGCAGTCTTCTCCTCCGGTGGGCACTGCTGTTCATTCAGGTCAGCAGAGAAGTGGCAGCACCAAACAAGTTGAAAAGCAGATGAAACACGAAGGCAAAGACCAGGAGGTTTCTCCAGCCCTCAGTTTGATGCCTTGCCACCGACCTAGCCCAGCTTCAAACACCATCTCATTTAAGGACAAGCCCAGCTCAGGGAAGGAGAGTAGCAGTGCCACTGGAAATATACCGCCATCTCCACTCCATAAGGACTCTGCTGTTGGGAAATCTGGCTCTCCACAGAAGTCCAGTGCACGGAAAGCAAATGATCTTTCATCAGGTCTAGCTGTAACAGCAGCTGGGAATCTGTTGTGGCCATCGAGGACATCAGCAGAAGACGAAGGTCTTAAACAGGGCTCCCTGCACCTGGTCTTCCCAGCTGCAGGCTCAGCTGCCAAAGACAAACACCCCAAAGTTAAAACGGCAGGCAGCAGAGATGCATCCAAAGACCAAGACAGGGAGAAGAACCTTCCAAACAACAACAGCAGCAGCAACAAAATTCCACTTCTCAACAATAACACAAAAGCTACTGGCAGCTCTAATGCGCACGCGCCAAACTCCAGCTCTTACAACAGCAGCAGCAAAGCTCTAGTGCTCGGAAACAGCACCAAAGCCCATGGGAAGCCTCAGGGAGGAAAGCACGAGAACCAGGGAAGTGAACGGTCATCCAAAAAGAGCAGGGACAATTACTCCTGTCCAGAGAGAAAGAACAGTTCCAGTCTAGACGGCTTAAGTTTAGCTCCAGAGAAAGGTGTGACAACCTCCAACCAGTCTCACACTAAACAGACAGCCAATCAGCTCTCCCTGTCCAGAGAGAAAAGGCGATCATTTAAACCCTCTCCTCCAACTTCACTGAAGTCTGACACCAAGATGGACCCTAATGGGACCAACATCATTGGTGGAATTTCGTCATCCTCCTGTCCCACAAGCACAGCCTCTCCTGTTGGACAGGGGGCTCATCGCTCCACCCATGCTGCTCTTTTCTCCTCAACCTCCGCCAGCAGTAGCGATAGCTCTGAATCTGACACCCAGAATCAAACGGAGGAAGACGACCTGTGTAAAGATCACTCCCGCAGCAAGCTTAGAGACCACCACAGCCTCATAAATCAGAGCGCAGAGGACGATGGCGACTGCCCCGAGGATGAACACGACAGAAGTTTGGAAGATAAGCATCACAAGGATGACAGTGACGGATCTGGCTCAGCTAAGCGGCGTTACCCTCGACGCAGTGCCCGTGCACGATCCAACACGTTTTTTGGCCTCACGCCTTTATATGGCGTTCGCTCATACGGTGAAGAAGACCTTCCGTTTTACGGCAGCGGCGGCGGAGCAGGAGTTACAATTAGGAAGAGGGCTGACGGCCGGAAGAAATCAGCTGAGGGGCAGGTGGATGGAGCGGATGATATGAGCACCTCATCTTCATCAGGGGACAGTGGAGAGGATGAAGATAGTGGATTTAAAAACAGGAGTAAAGATTCTTACTACTACAACTTCACACGAACAATAATTAACCCCGGTGAGGGTCTTCCATCTATTGAAGGGTTGGATCACTGCCTTGGAAGAGGATCCCAGCTTCAGCGCTTTCTAAAAGATGAGGAGCAGCAGCAACAGAGGACTCAAGAAAAAGCTGAAGAAGACATGCTGAGTACCTTGTAAGCACACATTTTTTAAAATAAAATAAATATGTTTAAAATAATTACATTGTTTCTTCTGTTTTAACAATCTGGTATATTAAATTTTCTGTTTTTCACAGGACTTTAGGCAAGCAGCGTATCAGCCAGCTGGACGGCGTTGATGACGGCTCAGAGAGCGATACCAGCATCTGTACCACCAGTACCACGTCCACGACGGCCACCTCATCTGCCACTCCACATAAGAGCGCTCCTAAGAGGAGAGGCAGAGAGAGGCACACAGACAAAACCGACTCCCATGATTCAAGCAAAGAGGCCGACAACAGCGGTGGAGCGGGAAGTGGCAACGCACGAGAAAGCAGAAAGAACCAGAAAGAAAACTGTCTTCCTCTTGGGGGCGGAGTCAAACCACAGAGTCAGGGTCAGGATCCTCTAGAGGCTCAGCTGTCTCTCAGCACAGACCTGCTCAAATCAGACTCTGACAACAACAACAGTGATGACTGTGGGAATATTTTGCCCTCGGATATCATGGAGTTTGTTTTAAACACGCCTTCCATGTCATTGCCAGCTCTAGGTCAGCAATCTGAGCCGTCGTCCTCAGAGCTGCTGCTGGATGAGAGCTATGTTGGAGTGGATGTAAACAGGAGGAAAGACATTCTTTTCGAGGACTTCTCCCAGCCTCTGCCCAGTGCTGAAAGTGGAGGGGTCGTAGAGAGCAGTGTAAATAGCTCCATCTCGGTAGAAGAGCCGTATCTTCCTCTTGAGCTGCCCTCTGACCTCTCTGTCCTGACGACACGCAGCCCAGCTGTCAGCACAAGTCAAAACCACGCTGCTGGAAGTCTCATCTCAAATACCTCAGATCACACTATTCTAGGCTTGAACTCTGACCCAGAGAGCATCAGTGGGGACAAAAGTGGAGACAAAAAAGTAACAGGGCCTGGTGTGTCTCCATCAGAGAATCGGCTTGATGGTACAACTTTGGGAAACAGGGACACACAGGTCTCAGAAGGTCACATGACTCCAGAGCAGTTTATTTCCAGCCCTGCCATTGGTCAAGTGGTTGAACCTCCTGCTAACCAGGATGCAAATAGGAGTTCTGGTACTTCAGGTTTGCCAAGTTCTTCCTCTGTGCCTCTTCAGAGTCAGAAGTATCTTCCAGCAGCGGCTGCAGGCAGTCCCAGTCCAGTTATTGGTTCTGGACCTTCCCAGGCTCAGGTTTCCAGCCCAGCAGTCATCAAACCAGGTCCCGACAAGCTCATCGTGGTCAATCAGCAGTTCCAGCCGCTGTATGTCCTTCAAACAGTCCCCAATGGGGTCACACAGAAAATCAGTGCAACAGGAGTGATGGACACTTCCTCTCCAGCAGTGCTGAGTTCAATGACTCTTACGTCTGGATTAAATGCTAGTTTATCTTCAGCCCAGCCAATATTTTCTGCTGGTGGCAAAGTCCTAGGGACCATACCTCACCCCTCTCATATTCACACCTTCACAGGATCCACCCAGGCAGGTTACCAGACTGGAATCCCCAGCACCACCTCTGGGCTGCTCATTGGTCTGCCCTCTCAGCCCCACGAGCAGTCCCAGATTCTGGTCTCAGAGGCTGGTAAACCGCAGGAGTTGGGACCTGGTGTGGCCATCGTTTCCAGTCCCTCCTCCCTCACTCCTTCTCCTGCCATACTCTCTTCCGCGCACGGCAAGAAGAGGGCTATCTCTCGTCTGCCAAGAAAAAGCAAAAAAGTGGCTCGATCCCGCAGCCAGCCCACTCTGGCCCCCTCTGAATTAAGCCCCCCTAACATGACTCTTATCAACCTGTCTTCCCCACAGATTGCTGCAAGTATTCCTGGTCAACCAGGTGGTCTGGTTGAGTTAGGCACACTCTCTGCCTCCCAACGCAAAGTTCCCAATATTATCAAGAGAACAAAGTCTGGTGGGGTTATGTACTTAGATCCAGCCACTCTTCTGCAGCAACGACTTTCTGGTCCTGCCCAGCCCGGCATCCTGAATCATGATTCCTCTACTCACCTTCTACCCTGCTCCGTCTCTGGTCTCAACCCCAGCCCGTCGGTGTTGAATGTTGTGTCTGTTCCTCCCAGTGGTTCTGCTGGTCTTCTTGCTCCAGGATCAGTGTCGCTCTCCACCTCTGTGCTGAGCTCTGCTGACATCACTGGCCCAATTAGTAACCTCCTTTTTAAAGCCAATCCACATGGTTTGGGCCTGTCAGATCAGCCACTGGTCCTCCAGTCAGCAGGGGGAGCTCCTCTGATGTCACAGCTCAGCTCCTCTGTTCAGACATCCATAGCCAGCAGTATCTGTGTCCTACCCACCCAACAGACTATCAGCATGGCTGTCAACCAACATGGCGAGACAGAGTGCAGGAATGTCCACTTACAGCATCAGTCTCGGCCTGTTAGCAGTGTTCAGGCTGTGGACTCCAATCCTAATGTTACTTTATCTCCCAGTCCATCCACCCCTCTAAGAGGTGCTAAAGGACGTTTTGTTGGAGTGCTCGCACAAAAACAGACCTTTGCACATTCCCAGAGCAGCAGGACAACACCTATTTCCATATCATCAGATCAAAGACCAACTAACACCGCTACAGCCGTGTCCGCCACACTTTCTTTTATGGACAAAAGCAAAAAGAAAGTGAAGAGGGGCCGACAGACTCCAAGCATTAACAGTGGGAAAAAGCTTAAAGCCTGTCAGGTGGAGGATCGTCAGAGCAACACTGAAAAGCAACTCTCTCTTTCAAACCCAAGGTGAGGCACCTATTTAAACAAGTTACTCTTATTCTCTTAAACGTTAAAGTGTTTTGTTGGAATTTAGTTATGACTTTAAATGAGCTCTTCTTCGACTGTCTTTCTGCACAGCTCCAGGGAACTGAGCTCTCCTGAACCTATGGACACTGGCAAACCATCAGAAAAGGCAACCAACAAGAGGTATGGAGTGCCACTGTTACTTACACATTTTCAAACAGTTGATAAAAATAAAGCTCTACATTATTTGCATATTCTTTAGCGTCATAGGTAAAAAGAAAACTCCTGAAGGTCATGCATTACCAGAGCAAATGGTAGGAAAGGACAAGCCGTCTGCAGCTGGAGAAGCTGGATCTATTCCAGCTGCATTACCGCCTGACCAGGACGGCAACAGCAGGGATTCTGGCTTAGACAGCAAACCCAAAAAGGGCATCATCTTTGAAATCTGCAGTGAGGACGGCTTCCACATTCGCTGTGAGAGTATTGAAGGTGAGGCAAAGTAACTGTAGTAACTATCCTTACGATATGTTATAAACTAATAAATCAGTATAAAAGCAAACAGGCATGCTGCACATTGAATGTTAGCACAATGGGTCATGACACAAAGTACGTTTAAAATGTGCCTAAATATTTTGAATGGAATAAAGATGACTCAAAGTATTCACGGTCTCTTTTCAGAGGCCTGGAAGTCCCTGACTGACAAGGTGAAGGAGGCTCGTTCCAATGCACAACTCAAAGAGCTTTCTTTTGAAGGTAAATTTAATTTTGATGACACAAAAATAACACATGTAAACTTAAAAAAAAAGATTTTCAGAAATGACTCTTGAAGCATCAGTTATACCCGTTGTTTTTATTTAGAGGGCATTTTTCTGTTCATTTCAGGTGTGAATGGACTGAGGATGCTGGGAGTCATACATGAAGCTGTGATCTTCCTGCTCGAGCAGCTGAACGGATCCAGGCACTGCCGGAGCTACCGTTTCCGCTTCCACAAACCAGAGGAAGCTGACGAGCCCCCTCTCAACCCCCACGGCTCAGCTCGGGCAGAAATCCACCACAGGTTAGAAAGGAACACACACACGCACACATCGAATGTGCAAATTATACAGTATCTATTTCATTTAGCTATTGTTTAGAGCCTTTTGAAGTTGACAAGACACAACAGTTAAGTCTAAAGTTGTTCATATGCCTGATGAATGTGGGATGTATTATAGGACAGTCTCTGTTAGTACGTCTGTAAACTTTCTATTGTCCAGTCCATAATTTCTGATCTGTTTGCGATAATTTAACACAGCTTCATACACATATGCATCATCACTCGACAGATGTCGCATAAAAATTTCATCATCTCAGCTACAAGGTCAAGGTCATAAGTAGGGATGGGTCCGATCCAGTATCGGTATCAGCCTCCGATACCGGCATAATTTATGTATCGGATTTTTCCGATCCAACCTGCTGATATTTCCGATCCATGATGCAAGTTGGCTTCAAACTACGGAATGGATTTCCTGAACGGCAGCGTGTCTCATGAACCCAGATTCAGAACATTCAGGAAATCCAATTCATAGTTTGCAGCCAGCTACAACGTGAGGACTGAGTTAGCAGCACTGTGGCTAACAGCTAACAAACTTTTCATCTAAACATGTCCGCTGTGTGGAAGTATTTTACACTAGAAACACCACAAAGCAAGACAGCAACGTGCAATGTCTGCAGAGCCACAAAGCCACATTAAACCACATTAAACAAAGGATTTCACAGCTTGATACTTGCATCCAAGATATAGTTTACCCTCCAGGAGATATTTATCAGTACAACAGTAGACAATCATAAAAAACATATGATTTGAAAATTATATTAAAAACAAAAACAGCTACATTATAAAGTGATGTAAAATACTAAAAACAGGAACATGTCTGTTGGTTTATGCCATGAACTTAGCAGGTGTTTGAAGCCATTTAACATTTAATTTAAATAATTTATTCATTCATTTAAATGAAACAAAATTTAAAAAAAAAATCATCAAAAGGAAAACATTGAATGAAAAGAGTGCAGAAAGAAGAAAACAATTCTTATATCTGCCCCTTATTTAAAAAAATATACAATAACTTTAAACAATCACTTAAAATTAATCACTTTAATATCCACTTTAAAGCTAGGAATAAAAATAAACATGTTTTGTGTTAGCAGAATTTAATTCTAACTTTCAAACTTATCCAAAATTAATAAAACTTACCTCAAGTTGCCTTTTTGGACATGCATGCATATATTTGTACAAATTGTACTTGAGAGGAGATTATTACAGCCTCATATAAAATCAATGATGATCATGATATCGGAACTGGATCGGTATCGGCCGATATTCAGACTTAGGTATCGGATCGGAAGTTTAAAAAAGTGGATCGGTGCATCCCTAGTCATAAGTCAAGGTCAAAGTTAAAACAAGGTCTTTGCGTGTCCGGGCCATTGTTTGGTTGATGTACTGTAATATACAGTAGTCCCTCGTTTATCGCGGAAGATCCGTAACCTGAGGACCCACGATAAGTGGAAAAACTGTGAAGTAGGAATAGTAGTACAAGTAGTAAGCAGTGGTTTATTTTAGTATTTATATATGTATATTTAGGTGTTTTAAACCCTTTCCACACTCTTGCACTATTCTAAACACTGTTTCTAAACTCTAAAAGCTCTAAAAGAGCACAGAATGTCATGATTTCAGCTCCCTGCCTCAACTCCTCTCGGCCACGCCCACTTCTCCGCTGCAGAGCAGAGATCAACTGATCAGCTGCAAGAGGGAGCTCTGGAGCTGTGGGCTGCACACAGGCTGGAGGAGTTGTTAAATTATTTAAAATACTTTATTTTAAATAAAAAATTCCATGCCATTCGTGTGGCTCATCCATCAATCAGCCAATTGTGTGTCATGTCCAATCTTACTTTGAAAAACCGCGATAGAGCGAGTCCGCTAAAAATGAACCTCGAACAGTACAGTAGTCCCTCAAAAATATTGTCGATACTTCGCGGTTCGACTTTCGCAGACTCTTTCACGGGTTTTCAATGTACACCACACATGATTAGCCACTGGGAAAGACAGACCCTGCCTCCACTTTCTCTTTCTCTGCTGTGACAGACAGCCTATGAAAGAAAAAGGAGGGGGTGGGGTCTGTCTTTCCCCATTGCCACTGCTCAGGGAGCAGGGATGAACTGATCAGATGGACAAATGTAGAAGATCGAAGAAAATTGAAAAATCAGAGTGAATCAGTTTAAAAAGAGAGAATGGTTGAGCGCGGCTCACTCAGGAATAAGAAAGAACCCCAGCCGCTCCCTCCTTTCTCTTTCTGGGGCTGTCTGTCACAGCAGAGAAAGAGAAAGAAGAGGGTGGGGTCTGACTTTCCCCATCGTGTCCCAGAGACACAACAGGCGTGCGCGCAATAGACAGCTCTGAAAAAAGAAAGGATGGGGCGAGGGGGTCTGTCTTATACCTAAGTGAGCCGTACGAGCGACATGGATTGTTTATTTAAAATAATCAAGTGCAACCCGAACCGAGCTGTTTGTCCCCCTCGGTGCGAGAGTGTGGGAAGGGTTGATAAAGCCTTAAAATATATAAAAATACTCAAATAAATTTAACGTCCCTACTTTGCAGATTTTCACCTATCTCAGGGGTGTCTGGAACGTAACCCTGCGATAAGTGAGGGACTACTGTATAATAGTTCGTCGACAGGCGCATAATGCGATGTATGCTGTACTCTCGTTTATTCTGGCTCTTGCTTGGGAGTTCCTCGTTCTTTATAAAGAATATAAAAAGCATGTGATGTTCTTTTTTTTTTTTGATATGTCTCTGATGACGGCCTGTTGCACTGCTCTACAAACCAGGAGGTCTGTATTTGACATGTTCAACTTCTTGGCCTCAAAACATCGCCAACCACCGGAGTACAGACCACAGGAGGAAGACGACGAGGAAGGGCAGCTCAGGACTGCCAGGTAAGTAACTGCATTCATTACTCGGTCAATGAGATTATTTTAAAGTTGAGATAAAATTGCTGAGATCGCTGGGTAGAGGCAGGGCAGCTGACTCAGGACCCAAAAGTCCCAGGATTGATCACCAGTCATTGCATCTCGTGGTGTCTCTGAGCAGCACACCCTATCCCCAATTGCTCCCCAGGCACTTTCAGTAGCTGCCCACTGCATCATGGGGGTGGATGGGTTAAATGCAGCGAGCCAATTTCGCCATTGTATGGGAACATACAATGATGACAATACATAACACATTATTATTATTGTTATTGTTATTGTTATTATTATTATTGTTATTACAAACCGGATTCCAAAAAAGTTGGGACACTAAACAAATTGTGAATAAAAACTGAATGTAATGATGTGGAGGTGCCAACATGTAATATTTTATTCAGAATAGAACACAAATCACAGATCAAAAGTTTAAACTGAGAGAATGTATCATTTTAAGGGAAAAATCTGTTGTTTCCAAATTTCATGGCGTCAACAAATCCCAAAAAAGTTGGGACAAGTCCATTTTTACCACTGTGTGGCATCCCCCCTTCTTCTTACAACACTCAACAGACGTCTGGGGACAGAGGAGACCAGTTCCTCAAGTTTAGAAATAGGAATGCTCTCCCATTCATGTCTAATACAGGCCTCTAACTGTTCAGTCATCTTGGGCCTTCTTTGTGGCACCTTCCTCTTTGTGATGCGCCAAATGTTCTCTATAGGTGAAAGATGTGGACTGCAGGCTGGCCATTTCAGTACCCGGATCCTTCTCCTACGTAGCCATGATGTTGTGATTGCTGCAGAATGTGGTCTGGCATTCTCGTGTTGAAAAATGCAGGGTCTTCCCTGAAAGAGATGATGTCTAGTTGGGAGCATATGTTGTTCTAGAACCTGAACATAGTTCTCTGCATTAATGGTTCCTTTCCAGACATGCAAGCTGCCCCTGCCACAAGCGCTCATGCAACCCCATACCATCAGTGATGCAGGCTTCTGAACGGAGCGTTGATAACAACTTGGGCTATCCTTGTCCTCTCTGGTCCGGATGACATGGCGTCCCAGTGTTCCATAAAGAACTTCAAATCGTGACTCATCTGACCACAGAACAGTCTTCCATTTTGCCACACTCCAT